TTGGTATCTCCCCAGAAGCCTCTGAATCACTAGTGGAGTCCAGCTCGTGACATCTCTGAGCGATTTTCTCCCAGAAATGCTTGGCAAAGTCGTCCCAGTGGGCCTTCAAGGGTGGAACCGGATCTTTCTTAGGGCCGGGATGAACCAGCCCTTGTACCACCCGAAACAGCTCCGCTGGACGGCATTGTGAGGAGGCAGTGGAAATGGAAAAGAATTTCTTTTTCGCCACCCTCACCGCCACAGCATAGGCCCTATACTGGGCTCTTAAGTGTGTTCGGTCAGATTCATCCCGTGATTTCCTCCACCTACGCTCTAGATGTCTCCCAGCCCACTTCATCGTCCGCAATTCAGGTGTATACCAAGGGGAAGAGTGGGCTCTGCCTGGCTATTACATGGAACTCACCTGAAACAAAAGTTGAGAATAATCAATCACATAGGACTCTGGAATGTGAAACTGCTTATGAAAACTGCATTATTTAAGAATGTGTGATAGCTGCATTGTAGTAGGGAGATTCCATGTTCCTAACCAAAGTGACAAAGGACTTTGCTGAAATTGAGCTATGTCCATCTGAAGATAGAAAGCCAGCAGAGGTATGGCCATATATGACCATCTCCTAGCTGAGCAGGAGTTGTGGATGTGTGCTCAGTGTAATGAGCTCCTGGGTCTCAGGGAACAAGTTCCTTCTCTTGAAGCCAAGGTTGCTGACCTGAACAAGCTAAGACAGGAAGAGAGGTTGGCTAATAAGATCCTTGGGAATCACAGAGCAGTGTCCCATTCCTTCGGTGACAGCCCCTCTGCTGTCATGAAAAATGGGTATCTCAGGGAAGGAAAGCAGCATGCTGAAGATGAGGGAAATGATGCCTTAAGACTCATTCCTTGAAAGACAACGTTTTGCGTTGAGAAAGAATAACTTTTTGCACTGAGGATGCAACTTGGGGAGGGGGTTGTGGTAGTGGGAGATTTGATCACTAGCCACATAGACAGCTGCGTTTGTGATGAGAGTGTAGGTTGCATGTTAAATTGTCTGTCTGGTACAAAGTTGTGAATAGTATGTGCCTAGATAGATAGTGCTGGGTTAGTCAGTGAACATGAGCTATGCTGATTGTGGGAAGATGTTGTCATTACAGGTCTGTTAGCCTAATGTGTGTTCTGGGTAAATTTGTTGAAAGTGTTATTAAGGACAGAATCAGAAAGCCTATTGTTTCTGCAAAGGTAAATCCTAACCCATTAGAGTTCTATGATAGTTTCAATACACACATGTACAGGAGCAATCCAGTAGGCATTGTTTATTTGGACTTCCAAAAGACTTTTGACAAAGTCCCTCAGCAAAGATTCCTGAGCAGATTTAGCAGTCATGGAAGAAGAAGAAAAGTCCTGTTATGGATCAGTAACTTGTTAAAAGAATTGAAGTGATGGAAATAAATTGTAATTCCAAATGAGGACTGTAAACAGTGAGGTCCCACAGGGATCTGTATTAGGAATGGTGCTTTTCAACATATTCATAAATGATCTGGAGTGAGGAAGAAAATGGCTATGTTTACTGATGACACTAAACCATTTAAGGTGGATAAATTCAAAAAGGATTGTAAAGAGCTTCAAAATTATCTCTTCAATTAAGGGTAAATGTGGTTCAATGTAAGCAATGCTGGGGGAAAAAAATCCCAACTTTTGAGTATAACTTGATGGTCAGTCACTGCTAGTGCAGATCCCAAGAAAAGGGTTTGGGATTGTGTTGAATAGCTTGATGAAAATGTCAACTCAGTGTGTGGTTGCTATGAAAAGGGCAAACACCATGTTAGGCATAATTAGGAAAGCATGGAACATAAAACTGGCCATGTCATGCTGCCATCATACAAATCTGTGGAACGACTGCACTTAGAATATTGTGTACAGTCTTAGTCACCAGACCTAAGAAAGGTTACTGTAGAGTTGGAAAAAGTGCAGAAAGGGCAACTAAAACAATTAAGGAGCTGGAGCAACTCCCTTACGAGGAGTAGTTACAACAGTGGTGATTGTTTAATGCAGATAAAGTAAAGTAAGGTGAGACATGATAGAGGTATTCAGAATTAGGTACAGTGTAGAGAAAGTGGATGGGGAGACATTTCTCTCTCTCTCCCTTTATGCTGGAGCCCAGAGTCCTTTCTGTCTAAGTATGCATAGCACTGAGCTCTAGGCTCAACAATTCAGGATTGGGACTAATGTCATAGTAGCAGTAAAGAAGAGGTCATTCTCTCTCTTCCACAGAATTCATAGCCTGTGCATGTAAATTCAGCATATTTTCCAGATACACGGGATATAAATATAATAAACAAGTAAAATAATAACAATTTCCCTTTTAATCAACACTTGGAAAGGATTTCATTATCAGTTTGTACTGGAACATAGATCTAAATCAGAAAAAGAGAGAATAGCACTGTATTCCATCTGATGTAAACAAACCTAAATCATCAGAGTAGAATGTCTGTACCTCTTTTAAAACTGTGTTTGTGACAAACAACTACATGCTATAGAAATACTGTGTTGTAGCTTTTTTCAAAAAAAAAAACAAAAAACAAAAAAAACAAAATAGTACTGAATTATTCATGGCTCTATTTGTATGTTAATACCTGAGGGTGTCCCATTTATGTCATTGTAGGAAATAAAATGAAGTTCCTTCACAAGAAGAATTAATTCCTATCTACTGTGATATGGATCCAAAGACTATTTATGACACCGAGCACAGAGAACACCACCTGCACATCATCATGATCAGATTCTGATGTTGGAGGGGACAATATCAGCTGGTCACAAATTTAAGTGACTGCAAATGCTGTTTGACTGTGTGTCAGGGAAAAAAAACTATGTATTTGGAAAGATATTTGTAAATAATGTGCTGTAAGCATCTTTAACATTTTTTTGTAATGAGCACAGCCAACTGTGGTAATATTTGTATATTCCTGAAAATAACAGGTTCCTCTTTCTTTAGTATGAACTGAGTAATGCTTGGTGCAAACTGAATAGCTAATTATGTGCAGCTGACTGTCTCAGCAGAACCACTGACTTCAACGGATGTTTGTGAGCACTGTGGTGTACTATGGAAGTGAATGAATTCCAGTCTGGGAATTTGGGGGTGGGAGTATGTGAAAGAGGACTGATTTTTATATGACAGAGTTTCTATTTTTCTTTAGTTTTTCTTCTAATTCATTTTTTCATGAAAAAGAATAACAAGTTACTCTGTAATAAGGTACTTGATTCACAATCACAGATTTATCTGCTTTGTTTTAAACAATGGTCAGTAAACTGTAATGCATCCTGCACTATGATTGCTGAACTCACAGAGATCTCTGTCCTTTTGACAAACAGGTTGTTGCAAATTAGGTACAGTCCAGTTTTTCTTTATGTATGATTTCTAATAAATTGTGTAAATACTTGGTCAAAAGTCCATGTTGATTAGAATCCTTCTCAAATTTTGAATGCTGTCTTAATGATATCTTTCTGGATATTTCCAGTGACAGCTCAATTAGGTCTACTTTGCAGGAAGGTGTGCAGCAATTCTATGTGTGTTAACCTGGGAATAAGTACCACTGGATTCAGTGGGGCTTGTTTTTGAGTAGACATGTGCAGAGTCACAGGGATCCCAATGCAGCACCTGTAAGCTCCTGCAATGATACTTGCAAGGGGTTCTCATCATGTCTGTGGCATTCTTTATTTTTTCCTAATCATTTAACATATGTAAAGAACTTGTATGAAAATACAAACATGGGCTTCAACAAAAGTGGTCCAAACATCCAAATACTCATTTATAGATGGTGCCCCTTCAAAGACTGAAAGCATTAGGTCCCTAGTCCATTCCAATGTTGTAGTACAAACTTTTTAGTTGACAAGATGGCAACGAGAATCCATTTGTAGAGACGATTTGTTTTATTTATTTAAGCTTTTATATATCGTTTGTTCAGCAAAAAAGCTCTCAAAAGGGTGTACAATTTAATTTAATTTCCATGAAGCAGGTAAGTAATTTAAAAGGTTATAAATCAGTGAATCTTAAAGACAATTGCAGTACAAAATTTCTCTGTGTAATAACCTCCCAACAAAAAGTGCAACTACTGGACATTGCTGAAACATGTTAAAAAGAAGCATTTGTTGCACTGTACCATCAGCAGTAAGCGGAGTTAGTCAATTTCTTCTTGAAAAGATGCTGAGGTGTCCAACAGATAAAGAACAAAAGTTTTGCTAAGTCAGCCACAGCCTAAGATCCGCAAGTGCCATGGATTACTACCTTTGGCATCTACCAATTAAGCATTTTGTGGTGTTGCCAACAGTAGTTTCTCAAATTACCAAATGTATTTGTGGATCCAACAGTGTTGCTTAACCCATACACTAAAAACTAAAGAATAAAGAGTGCTTACCTTTGCACGTTTATAAGCCTCATATAACTCAGTGGGGTTTACCACCCTAGAAAATACACATATGTAAGCTACTTTTTAGCTCTTCTTACAAGGTATGCTCTGTCCAATGCCAAAATAATAGTACAGACCAAAATACAAAATCTTGAGGGACTAGAACCTATGACCTACAAGCAGAATGGGGTTTTGCTGCTCCCTACAGCAGGCCTGGGCATATATATGCCACCCCAAAACTGTTCCTGAAGCTGGAAAATACATTTTTTCTTGGGACTGTATCTCCAAATGCTAAAATCCCAGGTCACCAATGAAATTTATTGAAGGAAGAAACTGCGATATTAGAAAATGAAGTGAAAGCTGCTCTGAAACCACTTGAAAGTAATAAACCATTCAAAGTAAATAGGGCATTCCAAGTTGCAGAGATTGAATTGGTCCAAATCCTAACAAGAATATGTCAATAAATGCAGAAATAAGACAATGGCCCACAGACTGGAAATATTCAATATACATTCCAATCTTCAAGAAAGTATATGCAAAAGAGTGTAACAATTACAGACGCAGTGCACTAATTTCCCATGCAAGTAAAGTGATGCTAGAGATGTTGTAACAAAGAATTTTACCTTTTCTGGAGTGAGAAGTGCCCAGCATTCAAGATGGATTCTGAAAAGGAAAAGGCATTTAAGATCATATATATATGATCAAATATACAAATATACATTGGCTTCTAGAATGCACTAAAGAATTTTATATGAACAATCTGTGCTTTATAGGTAACAGCAAAACCTTTGTATGGATCATGAGCAGCTATGGATGGTTCTGAAAGATATGAGTGTGCCTCAGCACTTGATTATTTTGATGCATAACCAGTATGAGCAAGGCACTACTGTTAGGGCTGAGTATAGAGAAATAAAATGGTTTCCCATAGGCAAAGGGGTCAGATATGGGTGTATCTCCCTAGCTGTTCAATTTCTACACAAAACATATAATATGGAAAGCTGGGTTAGGATCAGAGGAAGCGGTAGAAAATTGGAAGATACATAACAATTTAAGATAAGCAGATAATACCATATTACCAGCAGAAAGCAGTAATAAATTTAAATAACTCCTGATAAAAGTTAAAGAACAAAGTGCAAAAGCAGGGCTGCAGCTGAATATTAAGTAAACAAAAAAGATGACTATAGAAGAATTACATAGACGGTTATTAACTTTACTATTAATAATTATTATTATTATTAGAAAATTTATATGCCGCCCCGTGCCGAAGCCTCGGGGCGGCTTACAACACAATAAAATACAATACAAAAATAACAATATAAAACTAAAATTGATTATATATATATATATATATATATATATATAAACGATATAAAAGAAGTTATAAAAGTTATAAAAGAAAAGAAGTTGCCCTGGCCAGATGAATAAGTAAATATTGTTAACAATTAAAATGACATTTAAATAAAAAGGTCCTCACCTGGCGCCGAAAAACAAATAACGACGGCGCCAGGCGGACCTCTCTGGGGAATGAAATCGAAATTGTGAAAGCTTTTACACACCTCTGGCTCAGTCATCAATCTGAAAGGAGACTGCATCCAATAAATTTGAAGATGACAGATTTGGAAGGGTAGCCTAGAAAATATTAAATGTAAGGATATTTTACTGGAGACGAGGGTCAAGCTAATTCAGACTATTGTATTTTCAATCACAGTGTGTGGGTGTGAAAGCTGGACAGTGAAGAAAGCTGACAGGAAGAAAAAATGTGCTTGAAACATGGTTTGGAGAGCTTTGTTAGTACCCTGGGCCAACAGAAAGACAAGTGGGTCCTACATAAACCACGGCAGAGCTTTCTAGAAGCAAAAATGGCAAGCCTGAGGCCATCATGTATCATGCGAAGGCAAGACTCATTGGGGAAGTCAATCACATTAGGGAAAGTCAAAGGCAGACGACAAAAGGGAAGACAAAATATGAGATGGATTGAATCCGTAAAAGAAGCCACAGCCTTGGAACTTGAAGGGAGCTGTCTAGGCAGGACATACTGGATGGCTTTCATTCATAGGGTTGCCAAGGCAGGAGAGGACAGTGCTAACAACTTCGGATTGCACTGTTAGGGTCCTTGAGGTGAGGCGATTGGCATGTGAGCAGGAAAAACACTGACATCTTTCAACTTAAATAGTCTATTCTTTGGAACCATTATCATTTATTTATTATTTGATTTCTAGCCTTCCCCATTAGCCACAGGGCTCCCTGGGTGGCTTGAAGCTTATATAGGAAGACCAACCTGCTGGGTTTTCTTGAAATTTGGCAGATTCTTTTTATATCTGCAAAGGCTCAGAGAGGCAGTGCCTGACCCACGTTCATTCCTTCTGAGTTAAAAGGCATGTGCTGGGGCATACTGGAAGTTGGGTGGTAGCCTTCCTTTCTTCTCCGACCATGTGCAGATGCCTCCTTTCGAGTTTTATTTCAGGAAATGATGAGCAACAGCAGGCTCCTACTTTGGACTTAATTTAGAAAAATAGGGGCTTGCACATTCAAAGCCAACGACAGTCCTAAATCATTTACTTTCAATACCGCCCAATGGCCGAATCTCTCTGAGCGGTTAACAATCGTACTGCCTTATTCTAGGCAAGCCGGTGTTCCCCCGTGTAGAACAATTGCAGCAATCCTATTAGTACAGTTAACTGACTACCTGGGTTTCGACCCAGAAGGTAATCCCTGAGCGGAGGCTGAATATTCAGAAAAATGTGGACAATGCTACCAAAACACTTCAATACTTCCACCAAATCTGCTCTGCCGCTCCATTCAACTTCTACAAAGCTAAACGCCACGCCTCCTCCAGCCTGTACGTCCCCAGCGTAGGAACAGGAAGTGACATATAAGGAGACGCAAGGATCTCTTCACTCCCGCCTCTTCCTATTCGGAATCGAGAGCTCGCGAGAGAAATCGTTCGTCTCGGGCTTGGGGTGAAGTCTCGCGATAGGAGCTGTTCCCCTTCCTTTCTCTCTCGCGCCGTGGCCCAGCAAGATGGTAGGTCGCGGTGCCGCGTGGTGGGACCGCGGGTGGAGGGGTTTTGGCGCCCGTCTGCGGCCTTTCGCTGTTCTTCTGTCGTGCGTGGAGGAGGAGGAGCCGGTGCTTCCCTGTGCCCTGGTGGAGGCGACTCTCTCCCACCGAGGTCTCTGGGCGGAGCGAGGCCGGCCGGGAGAGCCCCAAATCCTCGTGGGAGAGCCTGGCGTGGGGCTGCCAGGGCGTTGCCTCCGTCGCCGAGCCCTCGCTTTCGGCAATTCCCTCGTGCTCCGTTCATCTCGTCTTGAGTTTGTGTCCAGTGTTAGGCCTCCTTAGAGTAGACCCATTGAAATGAACGGGGCTTGAGTTAGAGTAACGCAGGATGCAGTTGCCAGTTTAACACGTTTCTTCCCAGAGGGGGACAGTCTGTAAGTAACCTAGTTCGTAGGTTCTCCAGGTTTTTCCTTCCTGCATGAAGATCCCTGTCGTATTAGCGTACCCACTGTGCGCCGGCTTACTTCTCCCACATCTTTCTTACGGAAGGTTTTTGTATGGAACAAGTTGCTTTAAGGCTAAGTTGCTTTCACACACTCCACATGGGGCTTCCCTTGAAGATGGTCTGGATATTTCGGTTAGTACAGAGCAGAACTGCAAGACTGCTCACTAGGACCGGCAGACATGATCATAACACCAGACTTATATCACCTCCATTTTGTTAGCAATTGAAGTCTGGGTCCAATATAAGGTGTTAACTTTGACAGATAAACCCTTAAATGGTTTAGGGCCTGGTTATTTGAAGGAATCTCGCCTTCCATATACATCTGCCTGAATTGCAAGATCATCCACTGATGTCCTCCTTCAGGAGCCCTCCTTGAAGGAAGTTAGAGAGCCTACCCAAGGAAGGGCCTTTTCTTTGGTAGTGCCCCAGCTCTGGAATCTCCTCCCCAGAGAGGAGTTCCTGGTGCCAACACTGTATTCTTTTTGCTGGCTGAACCGTAAGGGTTGATGGGTTTTTAACTGGAATTTTATTAGTTAATGTTATTGATTTATGTGCCATTTTGAGACCAATTTTGGGCTAAGATAGGGTAAAAATGTTTTAAATACATCAGAAGTTCACAAAGCAGGCTTTTCCTCTTAATACAGTATTGGTTTCATTACAGCTGTGGGGAATGTATGATCCTCCAGATGGTGGGATGCAAAGCCTGTGCATGACAAGCATAGCTGATTGCTATCTAGCAACATCTGAAGGGCCCAGATATTACCCAACCCGGCCTAATATGGCCATCTTCCTTAGCTATCCTGTGCCCTTGGGATAAAACTATATTAAAGTACAGGTGGGCTGATTTCATTCTTGCTGTGGCATTCTTTTTGTTGCTACAATCTCTGTGATCCACCAGGGTGTCTGAAATTTCCAGTGAAGATGTTTTAAATATATCACTAACTCTTATGAAATGATCCTTAATATATGCTTCAGAGTATAAGATTTTTGCCTAGTTAGATTGCTGTTTATCATTCATTGACCCAATTAGCATCATCATAGTGACCCATATTGTTTGACTATTCTAGCTGTGGTCCCAAAACAGTTATAGATTGTGCTATGATTTTTAATTGTTGTGCAATCTCTGCCATGCAAGATTGGATGATATAACAAGCCACAACTGCATCATGTATATTCAAAATAGCTGAATCCATACAAAGCAGTGTACATGTCTTTAAAAAGCTGTGGTGACTTATTTGATTTTGCAAAGTGGCCCATTCAAAGCATCCTAGCAACTGGAGGTATTAATTAGTGTATCAGAAATTGCTGCACCGGTTTATATCTGCATTAATTAACTCCACATGCTTTCATAAAGCTATGATGAGGTTGTGGAGAGCCTCACTTGAGGGGGAGGGTAAGGGAAAGGTAGGCAGTGTACTTAAATTTGTAACTTTTTAGGACTCTTATTCCAAACGTTTTATTTTAAAGCCTTCCAGACTGAGGAAGACCAGGAAACTGAGGGGTCATGTCAGCCATGGCCATGGCCGTATTGGTAAGTACTAGAGAGGTGTAAAAGTCTGACAGTGTTGAAGCCATGAGGGAAAACCTCAATTGGGGGGTCGGGGAATGGACCATTTGTGGAAAATGGAAAAGTATGAATTACGGGTTAACCAGCATTTTAAAATTATACTCTGTGGTATATTTTTGACATTTATTGGAAGTTTTATGCATAAATATTTATCAAATGAAGCCTGCTTCTAGGGACCTGTACAAAAGATCATAGCCTTAAAATTATAATTTATGTATTTATACATGTATTTATAGTCTGCCTATAACTGCTGAGGCCTTCCTAGGCGGCTGCACTGCAATCATATACATTTCTTATCAGAAGTAAAACATTGTGTATTCTGTTGGATTTATTCACTGGCAAATGGGCCATAGTTCCATGGTAGACGACTTGCTTTGCATGGAAAAGGTCCTAGGTTCACTCTTTGGCATCTCCAGGTAGGGCTGGAAAAATTCCTTTCTGAAACCCTGGAAAACCACTGCCAGTCTGTGTTGGCAGTTTGTATCAATGGTCGGTCTTGGTATAGGGCTGTCTCCTGTGTTCCTGAATGTGTATCGGATTGCAGCTTTAGTTTTGTATAAGCAAAAAGGCAGCAGATGTTGAATAAAACCTTCTAAAACCTCCAGACTAAAACTGAGCGAACCAGAGGTGGCAAACAATAATTCACAAGCAACAGCCCTTTACACTTCTCCCATGAAGGTAGCAGTACTTACTAGATCAGCTTTCCCAACCTGGCAGCCATGAAATGGGTAACTATAACTCCCAGTGTCTCAGCTGGCTTGGCCACTGCCAGTTCTGCTTGGGATGGTGGGAACTGTAGCCCACATCATCTAAAGAACACCGGGTTGAGCAAAGCTGTTCCAGATGCAGAAAAGCATGTTGGATTTGTGTGTTTTCTATGTAGCTGATAAAATTATTTCTATTTTAGTTGGGAAAATGGGAGGTTAGGAGGACAGCAATTTTTTTTTTTCAAAATACATTGTTTTTTGAAAGTGCTGGAGGTTTCATTTGTTTGTTCTGATTCATAATAAGATATGTGAACTTGATAATAAAATATGCAAACTATATTTAAAATTACAGTTCTGCTGTTCATTGATCTGGATAACATGTAACAAGAAGCCATTAAGGGTCATGAGCTTTTCAAGGTGTGGGTGCTGCACTGTAGCTGATTGTTACATGCAAACCCAGTGAAGGAGAAGTTATTTGCTGGTTAGCAAGCCACCCAGAACAATGGGCTGCTTTGGGGTTGGAGTGTCTTGGTCATCGCCCTGACAATTCACCCTCACCAGGTCTGCACATAAGAAACTACAGCACACCCTGTTGCTGTTCATCAGGTATTCAAAATGGTGGCATCCTGTACAACAAGAAATCCTGTGGAGAAACTCACTGTGGCTTCTTTTTGTGCAGGAACCGGATCACTGACTTTAACCATGGCTGCTGTGGGACTGTGACTAGCTGGGAAGTGTGGAAATAAGTAAATGCTCAAATGTTTATACACTGATTGCAGTTTTTAATCCTTTATTAACATCTGTCATAGGTAAACACAGGAAGCATCCTGGAGGCCGTGGTAATGCTGGCGGTATGCACCACCACAGAATTAATTTTGACAAATAGTAAGCTATTTTCCCTTTTGTATACAATCTTGTCGAAGGTCTGATACACATTATAGTACTGTATTCTAGGAAGAGCAGATTCATATTAGATACCAAGATTAACTTTCACATCTTGTAGAAGTTTATTTTATTTTTATTATTATTATTATTATTATTATTATTATTATTATTATTATAATAAAATTTCTATGCCATTTTGTAACACTCTGCCTGAGTGTGGACATAACAATTTTAAATGAGCATGCATACTAGTACAGGCTGGTCAGTCATTCCCACTTGGTTCTTCTGCCAGCCTTTGTTCTTGACTTATGACTGGTTAGAAGAGCAACAAGCTGTAGATCCCGGTTTAGGTGTCAGTCTAGAAGAAGCAAGAATCCTGTTAGTAAGAGAAATCAAGGAAGTGATTACGCAGTCCATACTGACATGCTTGCTTGCTCACAATCGGATGTGCAGACGCAGCCATACTCTGCAGACGTGTCCAAATGCTGCTCCAGAAAGTGTTAGAGTGTAATAACTGGTTTTGAGCCATGCTGAGGTTCAGCTCACCGTGACTTTGTTTTGACAACCAACAATGAGTGGCAGCGCTCTTAGGCACTGTGTCGTGTGTTGAATCCTTGCAGCGTGAGCTGTGTGGCAGTATATGAAATCTGGAGAGTATGAATTTATTACATTGAAAGCCTGTCTTTTTTTTCCTCTTTGAGGCAGTTTACATAATTGTTATTTTTACTGTGAGGCAGAGAATAACTAGCCTAGGGTCACCCAGTGGGCTTCATGGCCAAGTGGCGACTAGAAGGTAGATTTCGGTCTGACACTTTTAACTACTGTGCTGCACATTATGCAAGAATTAATACTCAAAATGGTGGCCACTTGCACACAGCAGCCTTGCTGTAGGTTAAACAACGCCTGGTGGGTGCCGTGCTGTGTAAACAGCCCAAGCTCCCATGGAATTAAGGTTGGTGAGACTTATTTTTTAGCGATTGAGATTGCATCTTTATTTTGGACTTGGACATGAGAAACTATACATCTACAGATAACCGAGACTAGAGTCACATCTAGATGTTACCAGTTATCGTGGTGTGCTATAGTCCTCGAAGAGTAACAGCTGACCTTTATTCACTGGCTGTCCTCCCCATAGTACAGTCAGCCACCAGGTTAGCAACAGAAGGCTATTCTTGAACAAGTAGGTGTGAGCCCCAGAATCTTTTGCATGTTTTGGTAGCAAGAGGCAGTGCTCAGGGTTTCCTAAACTGTGTCCTTAAAGAGTCCTTTGGACCAATTAATGTGGGATATAAGTTAAATGAATAATAAAATAATGAACTGCTGGAATTGTTCAAGGAAAGGAATGCAGATACAGTGGGCTTTCAAAAACAACTATTGCACAATCCTAAAACAATTGCCTGAACTATTACGAATGTGCGTTTAATGGGTACTCTTTCTGATGATTCAGTTTTCTTTGTTTGAACATTAAATGGTCAGCTTTTAACTAAAACCATTTTCTTCTGCTGTGGGTCTTGCTCTCTCAAATAGGGCAATGAAAGCGTAGCAAGGAGAGATGGTGGGTAGGAGCAAGGGACCAAAATGGCAGTGGGATGTAGGAAATGAGCTGTGTAGCAGCTGCATAAGGTTCTAGATGTGGAAGGCCTAACATAAATGAAACTAAGATTACAGTAAGAAGTTTTTTTCAGCTCTAGCATTGCCATGTCCCATGTGCTCTGGCTAGGTAATATTTGAAATATGCATTGACAGTGGCTTTACTTTGTGTGTGATTTTTTTTTCTTACTAGCCATCCTGGTTATTTTGGGAAAGTTGGTATGAGACATTACCACTTGAAAAAAAACCAGCACTTCTGTCCTACGGTGAATTTGGATAAACTTTGGACACTTGTTAGTGAGCAGACAAGACTCAACTATGCCAAAAATCAGGCTGGTTTAGCTCCAGTTATTGATGTTGTACGCTCGGTAAGTGTCATTAAGCCTTGTTTCCTGAACTATTTCTGCTTCAGTCATACAGAACTTGAAGCTAATTCAATTTTAAAATTCATATGCCCAGTAGTTTGTAAGGCTAATAATACTTTGAGAGATTAAGTAAGATCTTGACTGTTGAAATCATTATGTCCAATTTAATTCAATTAATGGTGTTTTGGTACACCTATTAGTTCCAGACCAAACTGTAAATTTAGTGCAAATTCAGACAAACTAAGTGGGAAAGCAGCAATCTACACACATACTACTTATTCTGAGTTATAAATAAAAGCAGGGTCTTCATTAAAAAATGAGTTCTTTATGCTACTAAGAATTTGCATAACTGCACCTGGATAAGAATAATTTATGGAATGCTTTATACTTCACATGCAGCACATAAATCTGAAAACATGGGCATCTGTAAAATATTTGATGGATTTTTCTAGCTAGGGGGTGGGTGGTGGTTTTTTTTTTTTTTTTTTTTTTTGAAACACTGTTGTGCACTTGTAACCTGGGGATTCTGGGAATTGAGCTCAGGACCTTTTCCACGCAAAACATATGCTGCACTACTGAGGAAGAGCCCATCCTTGTTCTAGCAAGAAACACCTTTCATTCTACATACAAGAGTATCTTGTGAGTGAAATTCTGCTCACAGGCTGTTGGCACTTGCAGGAATCCTGGAATCAGAAGAGGATGTGATGTGTAATATAAATTGCAATATATTGTAAACAATTGTGACTGTCACACAAGAATTGGGCATATACTTAGCCAATGGTTAGAGATGATGGGAGTTGTGGTGTAAACAGTTGAAGGACCTCGTATTTCTCATGCTTGATTTACACTTTCAAATCTTCAGAAGTGTCTTCAGGAAATGTACTTCTGACCTTAAGAGGCTGCTAACATCTCATTATCTTTCCAGGGTTATTACAAGGTCCTGGGCAAGGGGAAGCTGCCCAAACAGCCTGTAATTGTGAAAGCAAAATTCTTCAGCAGGAAAGCAGAAGAAAAAATCAAAGAAGTTGGCGGTGCCTGTGTGCTAGTGGCATAAAATATTTTTGTATGTATTCTAGCCTGGAGGCATGAATAAAGAGTTGAAAACATCTGTAGTATATGTGATTTAACTTTAGCTTGTCAAGAATTCTTAAATTTCAAACTGATTTAAAAAAAGTAAAGATTAGGAGTCAGAATTTCATGAGTGTTATCCTTGTTCACTGCTCTCTGCTTCTGGCCTCACATACTTTTACCTTGCTTACTTTCTGTGCTCGTTGAACTGCAGCAGGTTTCTATTTTTTTTTAAGGGGCAGGTAGCAAGGAACTGTGGATGCCATGTTGGGGAGCCTTGATTGCATTACAAATCTAGACTTTAGACCAGGGTCCTCAAAATTTTCAACAGGGGGCCAGTTGACAGGTGCCAGCGGGGGGGGGGGGCGCATGGGTCACCAAGGTGGGGGGCAGATGCGGGTACACGAGGCAAGGCAGGGACGGGGCACCGGCTTGCTTGTGAGATCGTTTTCTCTGAGCAAGTCCAAAGCAACCTCCCTGTGAGCAAGCTGCTGCAGGGCGCACACATGCAAGGTGCTGGCTTGCTCATGAGGAGATTGTCTCCAAGTCCAGAACGACCTCCTCACAACCATGCCATGTGGGCTTGCCTGCACATGCACCCAGCGAGCCGGTTGCTTGGGCCAGTTCAATGGGCATGGTGGGCCAGATTTGGTCCGTGGGCCTTAGTTTGAGGACCCATGCTTTAGACTTTACAAATCATAAGCAGTCAGCATACCAAGAAGGGATATGTTTTATTGCATTAACCAGAGCTGGTAAAAGCCACTTGATCATCTATAGCTGACTGCAGGCAGAACACCATTTCTTTAGATTCCTAGCAACAGGCCTTTGCTAGTTGGTTATGAAGTCAGTAGTCATCATAAGGTGAATTTGGAACATAGAAACAGAAAGGGCCTCCCAGGCCATCTAGTTTGACCCCTGCCCTGGCTCCAGCCGGCTCTGCTCAGGACATGCCCACCATGTGCATGTCTAGCCTATCCTTGAAAGTAAAGCATGCTGCTGAAACTCTTTGCTGCTGGGTTTCAAGGTTATAGTGCATGCCCAGTCTCCCTCTCATGGAAGCCCTGCTCTGTCTGAGGCCCACAGCAGGATCTAGAAGTGAGGGAGTTGCCGCAAGCCAGAGCAGAAGGACCTGCTATTCCACATAATGCCTGCTGTTTGCCATGCCACAAAAAGCAAACAAGGTCATATTCTGTATCTTAGATTAACGATCACTCAGCAGAAAGGCCATTTTAAAGACTAATGCCCAGGCAACTGAATTAAGCAGCTTTATGAAGGACATAGTACTAAGAATTTAGTACTATAAAATTCATTAACGAGAACTGTTATTTCAGTTGTGCCCTGAGCACAAATGCAGAGCCAAAGGGCACTACTGAAAGATGGTTTACAAATTCCATACCCCAAAACCATACAAAGGCTAACTACAAAGAACAAAGCTCACGCTTTTCAGGGACAGGCTTATGGAGGATAAGGAATCAGACTTTCCATTTGTCCACTCTGCCCTTCTGAAAGCACAGGAAATAAGACCAAACAACTGGCATTAGTGATTGTTTGCTTTATGTGATTCTTAGGCATCTTATTTTACATATTTATTTAGAAAATTTCTATGCCACCCCATTCGCCAAAGCCTCGGGGTGGCTCACAAAACATTAAAATATAATACATTAAAAATATAAAATGAATTAACAATATAAAATAAGTCACCCTGGCCAAAGAATAAGGAAATAATATTAGCAATTAAAATGACGTTTGCATAAAAAGGTTGTCTGTCTGTTTTGTTGTAAGGGCAGTTTTGTTAATATTGTCAGTCACATGTACATGTCAACACAGAAAACTACAAATAAGAGCACACTGCAACACCACAGCAGAGCCTGCAAAGATACTGCATAGGGTTGACTAGTTTTACAAAACTCTTCCCCAAATTTATTCATCCTTCAACATTGTGTCCATGCCAATAAACAAGACCAACAATGTAGGCTTTTATGCATTTTATTGTCCATATGAAGATTACGGTGCAAATATACATACTTTTACAACTTCTCTGATACTCAGTTCTGCTCGCGTCAAGCAATTTTGTTCAATTAATGCTGAGAGTACAATCCTATGCCCTCCCAAACCATCTGAGTACCACAGAATTATTCAGAGTCCCAGCTCCAAGCTTCCTGTGAGCTCAATGTTTGGATATTGGAAGTCAAGCTACTCTGCTCCTTTTGCAGCTGTGCACAAAGAACTACGTGGGATGCCCCCTCAAGGTTGCAAATGGACCACAGAGAAAAGAGGAATGCCGTTTCTTTCATCATATCCAGGTAGTGCCCCGGTGTCCTCCTGGCCACCCCCCACATGCTGCTTCATTTAAATGGCCAAAAATAGGCATCTAGATGAAATGCAGGATGAGGCACTGGCAATGCAGATTGCGAGTTATTTCATGCACTGGGTGCCCATATCCCTGCATAAAGAGTGGGGAGCACTAGACGACACCTTGCAGCACCCCTCTTTGTCATGACTTTGTTATACAGTGAGACAAACTAGTTTATGAAGGTGTTAGTGTTCCCTCAAAATACTTCAGACCTACTTCATCAGGTATAATATCAGACTTATCATCCACCAAGCTAAACATGGTTCAGTGGTGGCATTTTGCATCAAGCAGGCACAACCCTCTATTTTTAAACATGAGGTAGATTAAGAAAAATAAATTTACTGAACATTTGGTGGGCTGCAAAATATGGTTGATGGGTCATAAGCCCTGCTAGTGAAATTCAAGATTAATGAGAACAAGTCTTAGTACAATTCTATTTCTATTGTTAGCAATAAGCTCCATAGTGTGGTGCAGTACTTTATAAAAACTTCTCAAAAGGACTGGACGCAGCAGAATCCAAAGATAACCACAGGACACTTCAAGTTTCACTTTCATCAAGCAGCAGCATATAAATTTGCTTCTATCATATGTCACACACCTAGAGAGAGAAAAAACATATTGGAATGAATAAGGCAACTCGTACAGATTCTAAATCCTAATTGGTAAGAAAAACCAAGAACAAATATTTTTTGCTAACAAGATTTCTATTTTTATATCCAAACATTACAGTTTCTTTCAATGGATATCTGACTGTGTGCACCAGAACATTAAATATAACACAGTTAATTCTATGGTAATTAAATAAAAACCATTTAAGTATATAAATCCAGACTATTGATATTTCCATTTTGAAATATATTTATTACAACAAAATCTATGAAGTAAATTAAAGGAAGCATCTGGAAGATGGTGAAATCTCAGAAAATATTTAAAATGATTTAATACTATATAGAAAATGGTGACCCAACGGGGTATGTTTCTTGCTCATGCACTTACTGGGGGTATGACTCAGTGAGAAGAGCTGGTCTCCTCATAATTGTGCTTCATGCACATTTTTTTTTCCTTCAAGTAGGAAGATCCAATATCAACTTTTCCAAAACAAACAGGATGGCTTGAAAGAAGAGAAAGCAGTGCAGATTTGTTACATGTCTTATTTTTACTTAGAGGCATCTTTGCCTAAATTCTACGTAGGTAACACATTATTTTCTTACGTCACATCTACATTAAAGGTAAAGGTTTCCCCCTGACGTTAAGTCCAGTCATTCCTGACTCAAGGGGGCAGTGCTCATCTCCATTTCCTAGCAGAGGGAGCCAGCGTTTGTCTGCAGTTTCCGTGGTCATGTGGCCGGCATGACTAAACACCAAGGAACACTGTTACCTTCCCACTGAAGTGGTACCTTTTTATCTACTTGCATTTGCATGCTTTCGAAATGCAAGGTTGGCAGGAGCTGGGATGGTGCAATGGGAACTCACCCCATTATGCAGATTCAAACTGGCGACCTTTCAATCAACCAGCCCAGCAGCACAGCTGTTTAAACCACTGCGCCACCTGCATCCGACACCTACACTAGGTAGACATAAAATCTGCAGCGTTTGTCCGGGGGTGTGTGTATGTGTGTTGTCTTAAGAGGCTAATTTGTAAAAGTGAAACACTCTGAATACCTGCAGCTTACCCTACCATCTACAGAAAGTTTACTGAAAGTTTTTGTCGCTAACCTGGTGACTGGCTCTGCCACTGAATAACAGAGTCAGTGAATAAAGATCAGCTATTCCTTTCCGAGTACTATAGCACACCACAATGACTGATGACATTTAGATGTGACTCTAGTCTCGGTTACTGTAGGTACATAAATTCTGTATTTGAGAACCATCAAAATTCAATAAATTAATTTCATCTAGAATTATGTTAGACATTATGAAATACATTGCTGGTTGTTTCCCTAAAAAGAAAAACACTTAAACCCCCACATAAAATGAACTGATGTCTAAATCAGCATTTTGACTCCATGTTTATATATCCTGATGCTCACCTGGCAATTTAAAGGGAAGCACCATGGCTTTTGGTATTTTGTATTAGTCGTCAAAGTTAATTCTACATTAGTGCTTCCTTCCAAAATTATCCTGGCCTTCAGAACATTTCCTGTGTTCACCTAAAGGAAACAAATGATGAAGATTATAAATAATTTTGCACACTACTATTTATCAAAATGTTGAAAGAGCATAATATGAACTGTGTATGAATAATCACGAAATCCAGAATTCTATTTATTCAAAATAAAAACTGATGTAAACATTAAATTGTTACTTGTTTAATCTGATTACAAGATGTTCCAAGTTTGCAAGGGAACTAAGTCATAGCATGAAAGGAGACAGAGATTTCATTTAGATGGCCAATTACTTTACATGCTGGAAGGCAAAAAGGTGAGGCAGTGGCTGTGCTGAACCGGTGCTTGGCCGAGGTAATGGAATGGATGAGGGCCAACAAACTGAAACTCAATCCAGACAAGACGGAGGTCCTGTTGGTTGGCGGATCGGGCTTCGGGGAGGGTGGATTTGACCTGGTCCTGAATGGTGCAACACTCCCTCTTAGGGACAAGGTCCGCAGCTTGGGAGTACTCCTCGACCTGGAGCTTTCTTTGGAAGCTCAGGTGACAGCGGTGGCGAGGAGCGCCTTCCTTCAGCTTCGGCTGATTAATCAGCTGCGCCCCTACCTGGAGTACGACTGCCTGGCGACGGTGACACACGCGCTGGTGACTTCCCGCTTAGACTTCTGTAACGCGCTTTACGTGGGGCTTCCCCTGAAGACGGTCCGAACACTTCAATTGGTGCAAAATAGAGCTGCCAGGTTGCTGACGGGGACGGGGCGTTATGCTCACATGACTCCAGTCCTCCGTCAGCTTCACTGGCTTCCCATTGAAGTCCGGGCCCAATTCAAGGTGTTGGTTATGACCTATAAAGCCCTAAACGGCTTGGGTCCTGGCTACCTGAACAAGCGCTTACGTCCGTATATGCCCGACCGCCCCTTGAGATCTGCGGGAGAGTCCCTTCTCTGGGAACACTCCATGAAAGAAATTAGGAGAGTAAGTACTCGGAGGAGGACTTTCTCTGCGCTGGCACCCAACCTATGGAATTCACTCCCCAAAGAGGTCCGCCTGGCACCGTCGTTACTGGTTTTTCGGCGCCAGGTAAAGAACTTTTTATTTAAACATCATTTTAATTGTTAAAATATATGATCTGGCCAGGGCAACTTCTTCTTCCTTCTCTTTCCTCCTCCTATATTCTTTATTTACTTATTTTATACTGTTAATTTTAATTTTATATTATTGTATCTC